TAAAATTTTCATGAAGTTTAAAAAAAATCATTTTGGGTTTGGAGACTCAAAGTTAAAGCATTAAGTAGAGTGTGGGGTTGGCTAGGGTCTGGGTGTGACTCTGGGGGCTTGCAGACTTTTACCTCAAACTGCAAGCCTTGCTTCTGGCAGAAGCTCTGCACCTCAGGGTAGGCAGTGCACTGCAGGACCTCTCTCTCTGCATCCATATCTGTAAGGCACAGTCAGGATGGTGTTAGTAGGAAGAAACCAGAACTCTGTCCAGCCCACTGCTTATTAGACCCCTTCAAATCCTGGAGTCCTTCCCTGCATACCAAAGACCCTAAAAACCTGGATGGGGCCAACAAGATGACTCATCAGGTAAAGGCCCTTGCCCAAGCTTGATGGCCAGAGTTTGATCCTTAAGTGGAAGGAGAGAATCGGCTCCTGTCAGTTGTCCTCTGACTGCCACACACAGCTGTGGCATGCACATTCCCTCCTTCCACACACAAATAAAATTAATTTTTAAATCATAAAAACAAAAAACAAAAAACAGGGGCTGAAGAGATGGCTCAGCGGTTAAGAGCACTGACTGCTCTTGCAGAGGACCCAGGTTCGATTCCCAGCACCCACATGGCGGCTACAAACCGTCCTTAACTCCAGTTCCCGGGGAATCCGAAGCCCTCTTTTGACCTCCGTGGCATTGCACAATATGGGTGCACTCACATACACATAAAAATAATAAAATATTTATAAAAAAAAACAAAAAACCAGGGAGTCAAACCAAGGAAACCACTCTTCCTAGATGCCTGGGATTGCCTGTGTGAGCTCCACAAATATTGTAACTCAAGAAACCCTCAGTCAGCCCAAGCAGGATTAGCCCAGCCTAAATTAGGGTTGCCAGTTAAAATACAGCACACATCGGCCTGGGACCACAGGGAGAGGATGGACCCTCTGAGCCCAGCATGCTTGAGGCTCTGGGTTTTACTCCAAAAGAACAAAACCAAAGAAAAAGTAGAACCAGGACTCAGTTGGATTCACAAGCCAGGTAAATAAGGGAATAACCTGCTAACACACAGCGCCACCCCAAGCAGCCTTTGTGTGATGCTAAAGGGTTATTGCTGGTTAATCTGAAAGGCATGAACTAGATGTGTTTTCTTGTTTGTTTTGTTTATGCTGACATAGAACCCAGGCCCTTGCACATGTCAGGCAGGAACTCCACCTCTGAACCACACTCCCAACTCCTTACTGGGGGATTCTAGGCAGGGGCTCTACCTCTGAGTCACACCCCCAGCCCTTCACTGGGGGAGTCCTAAGCAGAGGTTCTACCTCTGAGCAACACCTCAACCCCTTACTAGGGATTCTAGGCAGGGGCTCTACTCCTGAGTCACACTAATCACCTTACTGGGGGATTCTAGGCCTGAAGTCTACCAAAACCAAAGCTACCAGCAGATCCTAACTTGAGAGTTGCCCTGAATGTCAGTCTGAGCACTGTCTCCCTCACTCACACTTGTCACCCTCCCAATCTGTGTGATCACCTTTTTGCAAGCTGTTTTAATGTGTTCATAAAGTATTTATCAGATAATTAACTCATGACCAGAGCCTTGCTAAGCATGAAAGACAACGCAAAATACTGTAAGGTCCATGTAATTAGGACCTGGGCTGTGGCTCGATGGTTTGTACTTTTCAAGCATATGCAGAGAAAGGGGCACCAGGTCCCATTCCCAGCACTGACAAATAGCACCAAACAAATACAGGTTAATCTATGTGTCTGGTTATAGCAGACCTACTGGCTTGAGAAAGGCAAACACAATCTTCAACAGTGCTGTCAGCCACTTGTTAACACAACCATTATTAAAATTTTAAATAGATTCTGTTGTGGTGGTATAGCCTTTAATTCTGGCACTCAGGTAGCAGAGGCAAGTGGATCACTGAGTTCAAGGCCAACTAGATATATGTAATGAGACCATGTGTCCAAAAAAAGAAATTGGATGGGGGCTCATGAGATGGTTCAGCACTTAAGAACACTGGCTGCCCTTGCAGAGAACCCAGGTTCGGTTCCCAGCACCCACATGGCAGCTACAACTGTCTGTACCTCCAGTTCCAGGGGATTCGATGTCCTCTTCTGACCTCCATGGGCATTACATAAAATGGGCGCACTTACACACATGCAGGGAATACACTCATACACATAAAATAAAAATAATAAAATATTTTTTAAAAATTAGCTGGGTGTGTGTTCCGCGCTATCGTCTTGCCAGCAAGAACGACGCGGCACACTCAGGATCCTTCTGCAGAAAAGCTTTAATGCATCTTGAGAGGGAGAGCATAAGCTTACAGGGCAAAGACCCCGAATGTCGGAAACCCAGCCCTTATATAGGTTAGTAAGCCCGTCTTGGACGTGGCAACTCTTGATTGGTCGCAAACTCATCAGCCCATATCACGCCACAAGGTAGGCAGAGACTAGAAGGTGGAAAATTACTTCGGGCATGCGTACTGACTTATTTACTGCTCAGCATGAACCGGATGTGAACACCATCTTGTAATGGCGTCTGCAGGGACGGCAGGCAGCTCCCCACAGTTATTGCCAGCTACTGCCACTCCTCCATTCTTGTGGGGAGGCAGAGGCAGGTGGATCTCTGTGAGTTCAATGCCAGGCTGGTCTACATAGTGAGTTCCAGGCAGCTGGGGCTACAGGGAGACCCTGTCTCAAAAAGACCCCCCCCAAAAAAATTATTTATTATTTTTATTTAATGCGTATGAGTGTCACCTACATGTGTATAAGTGCACCCATGTCGTGCAATACCCGTGGAGATCAGAAGGCGTCAGATCCCCTGGAACTGGAGCTACAGACGGTTGTTAAACACAATGTGGGTGCTGGGAATTGAACCCAGGTCCTCCACAAGAGCAGTCAGTACTCTTAACTACTGAGCCATCTCTCCAGCCCCATAAGAGTTTGAATTTTCATTTATTTTATTTTATTTTATTTATTTTTTTGTCTTTTTGAGACAGGGTCTCCCTGTAGCCCCAGCTGTCCTGGAACTCGCTATGTAGACCAGGCTGGCCTCGAACTCACAGAGACCTGCCTGCCTCTGCCTCCCAAGTGCTGGGATTAAAGGTGTGTGCCACCACAGCCAGCTAGAGTTTGAATTTTTAAAGTGTTTGAAAGTTTTTTTTAGACAAGGTCTCCCTATAGCCCCAACTGGCCTGGAAATTGCTATATAGACCAGGCTGGCCTCCATCTCACAGAGATATGTCTACCTCTGCCTCCTGAATGCTGGGATTAAAGGTATGTGCCACCACACCTGGCTTGAATTTTTTGAAACCATACTTTTCAATATATTTTGTGTTTAAATTTTTATTTTTTTAAAAAATACTTTATTATTTTTATTTTATGTGTATGAGTGTATTGCCTGCATGTACGCAGGTGCACTTGTGTTGTGCAATTCCCTCAGAGATCAGAAGATGGCATCAGATCCCCTGGAACTGGCGTTATAGCTGGTTATTAGCAGCCGTGTGGGTGCTGGGAACTGACCTTGAGTCCTCTGCAAGAGCAGCCAGTGCTGTTAACCACTGAGCCATCTCTCCAGCCCCGTGCTAAAATTTTTTAAAGACTGTGGAACTTCAAGATTTGTACATGTTTTGTATTGTGATATTGACATGAGATCTTGGGAGGATAAGTAAGAAAAGAAAGGTCGTGGTTTAATGTGTTTGTGTGTGAAGCTGACAAGGTGCCAGTTGTGTTGGCTGGTTTCTGTCAACTGACAAAAACTAGAGACAGGAAAGGGGAGGGAACCTCAACTGAGGAATTTTCCCTATCAAACTGGCCTGTGCCCAAGTCTGTGCTTGCCCACTGTGGGCAGTGCCATCCCCGGGCAGTGCCATCCCCGGGCAGTGCCATCCCTGGGCTGTATAAGAATGATAGCTGAGCACACCAAAGAGCACAGGCCGGTGAGCGTGGTCCTCCAGACTCCACTTCAGTTCCTGCCTCCAGCTTCCTGCCTGGAGCTCCTGTCTCGGTTTCCCTCAATGATGGCCTATGCCTCACAACCTGAAATAAACTCAGCCCTCCCCAAGGTGGTTTTGGTCAGAGTTTCATCACAGCAACAGAAAGCAAACTAGGACAGTGAGTCAAGGCCTGAGGAGCTGAGTTCTATGCCTGGGACCCACCTGCTGGAGAGACCTAACTCCGACACACGAGCTGTCCTCTGACACATGAGTTGTGCCATGACACACTAGTGACCCATACACACAGACACACAAATTTATTTTTAAGATAGGGGAGGAACTGAGGATGTAGCTCAGCAGAATGCTTGCCTAACATGCACAAGGTGCTATGTTCAATCCCTTTAAGAAACATGAGCAGGGCCTTGGGGGTGTGGCTCAGTGGAGAGTGCTCATGGAGCAGGAATGACGCAGGTTCCAGTCCTGGCATCCTTAAACATGTGTGAGATTTCAGTTTCCACCTCCAACACCTGCCCAACATGCACAATGCCCCTGGTTCCATTCCCAGCAAACATTCCTCTTAAGTGTCAGTTGCAATATTAATTAATTCACAGCAACTACTAAACTGCCTAATCTACTTGATGGGAGAAGAAACAGGTTCCAGCAGGCCACCTGACAATGGTGTTCCCAAGCGGGTTACCAGGCCATTGGCATTCACAGCCAGGTCTCTTGGAGGACCCTGTCTGAAGCATACCCAACAGCCCAACATTACCAGAGTCCCCGCTAGTCTCAGACCCCCGCAGCCCTGCCCTTACCTGAGATGGTGGAGCTGATGAAGATGGACACGCAGCTCGACGGTGGTGCTGGAAGGGGGCCTGCCTGACCCTGGAGAAGCCGCCGGCGAGTGCCAGGGCTGAGGGGGCCCAAGTTCATGCTGCCCACCTGCACAAATGCTCCTTCCTGGGGAAACGGCCTGAGGCCCAGAGTCCTCACATATGCAGCTGCCGGACCATCCTGGGAGGCTCTTGTCTCACAGCTTGTGACCACCGTGGTGACTTTCTGCCTCAGTCACCTCCAGTGCCCACAGGGAGCTTCTCAGAGGCTCCCTTCAGGTTCCCCTGGTCTGCAAGCCCTGACTGGGAGGTGTGGGCCAGCGGCCTTCCAACCACCATCGCAGATTCCACGAACAACTGTCTTCTTCCAGTTTCTCAGGAAAGCTCAGTGGTCACCATAGCAACTATGGTTTCCCAGCGCTAGGTGCTGGGGCCCGGGGACCAGCCGCTCTCTCCAACACCTGGGGCCCCTGGGGCCTCTTTGTAAGTTGAGCCTGATCCCAGGTGTGCAGAGGAAGGCCAGGTATTCTGGGAGCTGTGCCCAGCTCTGGCAAGGCAGCCCAGAGGGTAAACACTGGCTAGAACCTCCACCACATCGAGACTCCCCAACCCTCTCACAAGCCTGTCCAGGACTCAGGAGGGCTATGCAGACCAGAGGTCTCACCTGGGGTCACTCAGCCTAAGCCAGAGTGCTTACAGTGTCTATAGATATTAGGGGTTGTCAGAAATGGGGGTGCCAAGGGCATCAAGTGGGTGAAGGGCTGGGGGCAGGGCCGCTGCTTGGAATCCTCCAGCTGGAGATGTGGCTCAGCATGCATGAGACTGGGCTGAATCCCCATCCACAAGACAGGAAGGAAAGAAAAGAAGAGGGGTGAGGACACGGGATTGAGGAGCAAATGAGGGCAGAAGAATGGAGGGGAGGGGAGGAGGGAGGAGAGGAAATTGCCCTTGGGGTATCATCTAACTGTCTGGCCACCTCCCAATAGTAGCAATCCCTGTGACAGACACAGAACGAAACTGTGTGTCCGTAAATGTGTGATCCCTGGCTCCTCCATCGTGTTCCTGGGGGATTTAAGGAGCTGGCCTTTCGTCGGAGGCATCTGCCACAATGTCTGTGAAACCAGAACAAAGATTTGTCAGGACACCTGCCTCAGAAGCCATCCCTGAGGCAGCATCGTGATCAACAGGTGAATGAGTGGCCAATCATCCACCACAAAACATAAGGGCAAGGCAGGAGGAGATGGGTCTGTATGGCAACCAGCACAGAGTGACGATTGATTAGTACGTGCGTACATTCACACACACACACACTCACACACACATACACACACACACACACACACACACTCTCACACCCTCACACACGTTAGTCTATAAAATGAAGATGTGATAGTACACACCTGTCACCCCAGCACTTGGAGGCTGGGGCAAAAGAATTCCAGGCCAGCCTGGGCTACATAACAATGCCCTGTCTCAAGAAACCAAATAGGCTGATGAGATGGTTCAAAGAGCATGGATTTTCTGAGTTTATACTTTAGACGACTGTGCTTTTTCGTTTTTTTAGTTTTGGGTTTTTGTTGTTGTTGTTGTTGTTGTTGTTTTTAGAGACAGAGCGTCATGTAGCTCAGGCTAACCTCGAATATGCTATGTAGCTGATGAATTTCTGATCCTTCTGCTTCTACCTCCCGAGTGCTGGGATGACAGGCATGCACCATCTCCCCTGGTTTACAGGGTGCTGGGAATGGAACGTGGGGCTTCATGCATGCTAGGGAAGTTCTACTCACAGAGCCCCAGTTCCAGCCCTTTACTCAGCTGTAAATTAAGTAAGTAACTGGGCATGATGGCACAGCCTTTACCCCAGCACTTCAGAGGTAGAGGCAGACAGATCTCTGCAAGGTCAAGACCAGCCTGGTCTACATAGAGCGTTACAGGCCAGCTGGGGCTACAGGGAGACCCTGTCTCAAAACCAAACAATGACTGTCACTATTATATGGATGAAGAAACTGAGGCCCAGAGAGAAAACTTTCTCACTAGTTCAGAATGGTAAGTCGGGGTGTACTGCTGGGCTCCTCTTCTCGTGACCCCCATAGCCAGCACAGCCCCTGAACCACCTTCCTGCATGCCACCCCAACCTCTGATCTAAATGCACCTTGGTGGCCTTACCCAGCTCCACTGCATCTCTCTAAGCACTTCCTTCCAGTCTCCTGACCATTCCTGCCTTGATCAACCCATCCAGTCACTCCCAGAGCCACTTCTTTTCATTTTCTTCATGGTACTCACCCTGAGCCCACACGTCTCCACGTGTCCACTGCCTCTCCCTCAGGAATGTGAATTGAAAGGGTACAAGAACTTGCTGGCCAAGCTCAGCCCCTCTCTGTGTGCTACCACAGGCGCCTCAGCAGCATAGTGGTCTTCCGGAAGCACAAGGGCCATCACAGGGCCTGCTGGGACACCAGCTCCCTCTCGCTCTTGTGCATGTGCAAGGCTCCAACTCAAGAGTGTCTTGGTAAGTGGGTTGGAGAAGGTTTTCTGGGCCCAGAGACACCCGGAAGACAGGCCTCCAGCACTCCTGGTAACCTTTGTTTTACACACTTTCTGGTCTTTGGTCTGCCCAATTCTCCCAGCAACTGGGAGACATGAAAGAAATTGTTTGGCTGTCAGGCAGCGCCTGAGCTGGGCGCTCAGCCAGGCCTAGTGGTTAACCATTGTGTGCCAGGCTTGCCGACTCACTGGAGCGTGTGCAATCTGTGGGGCTGCAGGATGCTGGCTGGTTGGCATCCGGCACCAGCAATTTGAAGAACCGCATCACAAGGTGGATGCTGTGATCCTGTACCATGGATGCAGAAAATGTAGTCCAGGGCTGGAGATGGCTCAGAGGTTAAGAGCACTGGCTGCTCTTGCAGAGGACCTGGGACCGGTTCCCAGTACCCATATGACAATTCCAATTCCCAGGGATTCAAAGCCCTCTTCTGCCCTACGAGGTCCCTGTACAAACACACACGCACATACACACACACAAATTAAAAAGAAAATGTGGTCCAAATGCCAAAGCTACTTTATCTGGTGAGACTGTGATTTACTCTTCTACCTTCTGGGCTTGTAATGGAAGGGATTGAGTTTACACAGAGTGAGACAAGCACCGTGACTGGTTCACAGAAGACTCATGACTCCATACATATAGTTATTACTACTGCCATTCAGAAAACAAGTGACAGTCAAGAGATCCACCCAGCTCAACCTCAAAGGTCAACAACATGGCAGCAAGTGTGCCTGAAGTCTAAGTCCCTGGACCAGATTATTTTTTAAAATCTTTTTGTTATTTAAAATGTTTTTAAGGTGGCTGGGCATGGTGGTGCCTTTAATCCCAGCACTCGGGAGGCAGAGGCAGGTGGATCTCTGTGAGTTCAAGGCCAGCCTGGTCTACATAGTGAGTTCCAGGACAGCTGGGGCTACAGGGAGACCCTGTCTCAAAAAGACCAAAAAAAAAATGTTTTTAAGGGACTGGAGACATGGCTCAGTGGCTGAGAGCATGGCTACTCTTGTAGAGGACTCAGGTTCAAATCCCAGTACTACATGGCGGCTAACAACTGTCCATAATTCCAGTTCCAGGGGATCCAACACCCTCTTCTGGTCTCCACAGGGACTTCATGACACAAGTGCACTTACAAATATGCAGGCGTAACACTCATACACATAAAAATAAAAACAATTTTAATGTTTTAAATTATTGTTTACTTTTCTTTGGTGTGTATGAATATTTTGCCTGCATATATGTAAGTGCAGAGGCCAAAAGAGGGCATTAGAGCCTCTGAAACTAGAATTACTGACATCAGCCACTATGTGGGTGCTGGGTACCAAACCAGGGTCCTCTGCAGGAGCAACCAGTGCTCTTAACCACTGAGGCCTGAAATTTTTAAATTTTTAAAGATTTATTATTTATCCACATGTACACCTTCATGCAATGCCCACAGAGGCAAAAGGGCATCACTTATCCAGGAACTGAAGTTACGGGGATTGGGAGCCCCTTAGTGCTGGGACCCAAACTCCAGTCCTCTGCAAGAGCAGCAAGCACTCTTAACTACTAGACCATCTCCACAGTCCCCAAGATTTTTTACGTTAATTAATTAATTTATTTTTTTATTTTGTGTATGGGTGTCCACTTAACACAGTGCAAGTGTGGTGGTCAGAGAAGTCTCTCTTTCCACCATGCAGTTCCCAAGGACCAAACTCAGGTCATCAGGCTTGGGGGCAAGCACCATTATCCAATGAGCTGAATCACTGGCCCATCTTTTGGGAATTAGTAGAGGCTTTTTTAGTGTGTGCGTTGTATGCACACATGCATCCTGAGTGTGTGCACCTGGGGAGGCCAGAGGAGGCCGGGCGCTCTGCTCTACCACTCTGCCTTACTCATGAGAAAAGGTCTCTCTGAAACTGGAACTGGGCTGGTGGCCAGCAAGCCCCAGACATCTTCCTGTCCCCACCCCCAAGTGCTGGGGTCACATGTACTCGGCTATACCCAGCTTTTTATGTGGGTGCTGGGAATTCAAATTCAGGACCTCATGCTTACATGAAAAGCACTGTAATTAGTCACTTTTCTGCTGCTGTGATAGAAACACTGACCCAAACAATTTATAGAAGGAAGAGTTTATTTGAGCTTATGGTTCCAGGGGAATCACAGTCCATCATGGCAGGGAGGCATGGTGGCTGGAGGTGGCTGGAGCAGGAGCAGCAGAAGCTAAGCTCTCACATCATCACACAGGCACAGGAAGCAAGAGAGCAACTGGAGACCTGGGTTTAAGAACTCTCTAAGCCCACCCCCAGTGACGTGCTTCCTCCAGGATAGCCACACCTTCTAAAACCTCCCAAAACAGCGCCATCATCTGGGGACAAAATGTCCAAGTACTTGGAGCCTATGGGGGACATTTTCATTCAAACCACCACAAGCATCCTTACCCACTGAGCATCTCCACAGCTCTGGGCAAGGTGACATTTGACGCTGCAATGTTCTTTGTGGTGAGCGCTGTCTTGAGCAGGACTGCTGACCTACAGTCCTGGAGGCAAACAGCCTCCATACATGGCCAGGTGTCCATGCAGGAGCAGACACCTCCTCCCATCTGTCCTGATCCCTGCTTTGTCTTCAGTACCTTACTGTCCACTCTGCACGTGCTGCTTAACTTTCATTTAACTTGGCAAGCACTGGGGATCGAAACCAGCACTGCATATCTAAGGCAGGAGCTGGGGATCCCAAACCCTGGGCCTTGCACAGGTTCAATAAACACTGGGTGGGGAAGCTGAACCCAGGACTTTGCACATGCTCAGCAACCCTCTAGGACTGAACCTCCTCCAGCCAATGCTACTATGATTTGAGGGACTCCAAGCTTTGTGGGCTGATGTATGTATACTATTTCCAATTTCCCTGGACACTTGGGGACCTTAATATGCTACTCTGATTTACCAGTAATTAAAATATGTTTCAGGGGTTGGTGAGATGGCTCAGCTGGTAAAGGTGCTTGCTGCTAAGCCTGACAACTTGAGTTCAATTCCCGGGACCGGCAAGAAAGGAGAGAACTGACTCTTGAAAGTTATCCTCTGACCTCCACACTTGTACACACACACACACACACACACACACACACACACACACACATTTGACGAGTAAATAAATATAATAAAAATCTTTAAAAGAAAATTTCAGAGACATGAAATAGATCTTCAGGTTCCTATAGTTGAGGAAGAGTCTATCAGAACTGTGACTCTCAAACCCAAGAGTTTTCAAATAGAAATGTGTGGGCATTTGAGGCTGTAGTGATGGCTCATCATTAAGAGCATTGGCTGCCCTTGCAGAGGACTTGGGTTCAGTTTCCGGCATCCACATGGTGGCTAACAATCTTCCATAACTACAGTTCCAGGGAATTCAATAACTTCTTCTGACCTCCATGGGCATTGCATGACACAGGTGCACTTACGTGCAGGCAATACACTCATATACATAGAATAAAAATTAACTGCATACACCATGCACAAACCTATACACAGACACAAATGCATTGCATAATCAAAAATAAAAACTAGCACTTGGGGGGCAGAGGCAGGTGGATCTCTGTGAGTTCAAGGCCAGCCTGGTCTACATAGTGAGTTCCAGGGCAGCTGGGGCTACAGGGAGACCCTGTCTCAAAAAGACAAATACATACATACATACATACATACATACATACATACATACATACATATACATACATACATACATACATACATAAATACTAGCCTGGCATGGTGGTGCACGCCTGTAGTCCCAGCACTTGGGAGGCAGAAGCAGGCGGATCTCTGTGAGTTCAAGGCCAGCCTGGTCTACATAGTGAGTTCCAGGACAGCTGGGGCTACAGGAAGACCCTGTCTCAAAAAGACCAAAATAAATAAATAAATAAAAATAAATAAATAAATAAAATAAAAACTAAATCTTAAGAATTATTATTATTATTACTATTACTATTGTGTGTGATGTGTGTGGCAGGGGTAGGGTAGGTATGTCACAACCTGAGAATGGAGGTCAAAGGACAACTTTGTAGGCAGTTCCTTCCCTCTACCTTTACACGCATTCTGGGGCTAGAACTCAGGTTGTGTGGCTGTTTCATCAAGTAAATTTACCTGCTGAGCTATCTTTCTGGCTCCCAAAATATTATTTAAAATTTTGAACTTTTAGTGTGCATCTGTGCTACTGTAGCACATGGCTATAATCCCAGTACTTGAGAGGTAGGAGCAGGAGCATCAGGAGTTCAAGCCTTGGCTACATAGTAAGTTTGAGGCTAGCTGGGGCTACATGAGACCCTGTCCCTTAAATGTGGGCACTGGGGAGATGGCTCAGTGAGTAAAGTGCCATACAGGCATGAGGACCAAAGTTTTGATCCCCACGCCCATGTGGATACAAGGGGGCACGGTGGCCTGCCTGTAATCCCAGGGTTGGACACAGAGACAGGGGTTCCCCAGACAGGATCTAAATCAGGGGCCTCTGGATTTAAGTAAGAGGCACTTCCTCGTTCAATCAGGAAAGACACTGGATATTGACCTCTCGCCTCTACTAGTTGTGGTGTGACACTACTGCTGGAGAGATGTGAATAAACATCTACTCACCCCAGATAAGGAGCTGAAGACACACCAAAGTCAGGATACCGCCAAAGTCCAATTTGGTGAACCAATGAGTTACTTGCAGTTACAGGAATATGATGAGAGCTTACTTACAGGATCATAGAGGAAAGCCCCCCTGAAGGACCACTGGAAAGCAGGAACCCTGGACTACACTGCATAACTTGAAGGCAGCTGAATAGGTTGGTGACTCTTCTAAGTGCATGCTCCTGTGGCTGTGGAGAGGAAGGGGCCTTGTGAATTCTGTCAATTTCTGGGACTTTCTGAGATGGAGCCTCCCTTGGGAACTTTGTGTATTTTCTTTTTCTTTCGTTTTTTCTTTTTTTGGGGGGGTTATCTTTGGGACAGGGTCTCCTTGTAGCCCCAGCTGACCTGGAACTCACTATGTAGACCAGGCAGGCCTTGAACTCACAGAGATCCGCCTGCCTGTGCACCACCACACAGGGTGGG